AGGAGCAAATTTTATAGACGGCTTTTGAGACGTCTCTCCCTCGAGCTCCACCTGAAGCTCCACCTTATCCATGGTCTTCTCTACATTTCCTGTAGACTCAACAGAAACCTTCCCATGATCAAGCATATATCTTTCATTAAAAGTAACATCTCTACTAATAATGAATTTAGGAGAATCAGGTTCAAGACTCCACAAACGATAGCCTTTAACGCCATCAGTATAACCAATAAATATGCATTTCTTAGCTCTAGGCTCAAGCTTACCCTCTCTAACATGATAGTAAGCGGGACATCCAAATACCTTTAAATTTGAATAGTCATTTAGTTTACCTGCCCATACCTTATTTGGAGTCTTGTGTTCAATGGCTGTAGAAGGAGACCGATTTACCAAGTAACAAGCTGTGTTAACAGCTTCAGCCCAGAAGCCTTTATCCAACCCAGAGTTTGAGAGCATACACCTAGCTCTCTCCATCAACGTTCTATTCATGCGTTCTGCCACCCCGTTTTGCTGAGGAGTGTGCCTGATCGTGCGGTGTCGTACGATCCCAGAATTTGAGCAGAACTGATTGAACTCACCACTGCAGAACTCTAGGCCATTATCTGTTCGGAGACGTTTAATCTTCTTTCCAGTTTGATTCTCAACAAGCACTTTCCACTTCTTGAAAGTTTCGAACACCTCGCTTTTACGCCCGAGAAAGTAAACCCAAACTTTCCTGGAAAAATCATCAATAAATGTCAGAAAATAAAGAGCATCACCTTTGGATGGAACCTGAGCAGGTCCCCACAAATCTGAATGGATGTAGTCGAGAGTGTCCTTCGTCGTATGTGAGCCAGTCGAGAAGCTGACCCGAGTTTGCTTCCCAAACACACAATGCTCACAGAAATCAAGTGATGATGTATTATCACCACAGAGTAAGCTACGTTTACTCAAAATAGCCATCCCCTTCTCACTCATGTGGCCTAAGCGCATGTGCCACAACTGAGTAGTGTCCCTATCAGCATCAGAGGACACACCTGCAGATCCTGTCACCGTACTGTCTTGGAGAACATAAAGACTGTTCACCTTACTACCTTCCATCACAAGCAATGAACCCTTAGTAACTCTAAGAGCTCCACCTCCACCAGTGTAAGAACATCCAACAGTATCCAAAGAACTCAAAGAAATTAGATTTTTCTTTAAGTCCGGGATGTGTCTCACATCTGACAAAGTTCTCACTATCCCATCGTGACACCGAATGCGAATTGTACCAATGCCAATTATCTTACAAACTGCATTGTTGCCCATCAAAACTGATCCACCACTTATAGATCTGTAAGTAGTGAACCAATCTTTATTTGGACACATATGAAAAGACGCACCTGTATCCAAGATCCATTCTCTATCGGAACGGCCATCCAAGGGACATACTGTAAGAACCGTCTCAGCAACAAATAATGGCCTAGAGTTCTATAGTGGTGAGTTCAATCAGTTCTGCTCAAATTCTGGGATCGTACGACATCGCACGATCAGGCACACTCCTCAGCAAACGGGGTGGCAGAACGCATGAATAGAACGTTGATGGAGAGAGCTAGGTGTATGCTCTTAAACTCTGGGTTGGATAAAGGCTTCTGGGCTGAAGCTGTTAACACAGCTTGTTACTTGGTAAATCGGTCTCCTTCTACAGCCATTGAACACAAGACTCCAAATGAGGTATGGTCAGGTAAACCAAATGACTATTCAAATTTAAAGGTATTTGGATGTCCCGCTTACTATCATGTTAGAGAGGGTAAGCTTGAGCCTAGAGCTAAGAAATGCATATTTATTGGTTATACTGATGGCGTTAAAGGCTATCGTTTGTGGAGTCTTGAACCTGATTCTCCTAAATTCATTATTAGTAGAGATGTTACTTTTAATGAAAGATATATGCTTGATCGTGGGAAGGTTTCTGTTGAGTCTACAGGAAATGTAGAGAAGATCATGGATAAGGTGGAGCTTCAGGTAGAGCTCGAGGGAGAGACGTCTCAAAAGCCGTCTATAAAATTTGCTCCTACAGCTGTAGAAGAGCAACATGATTCAGGCTCAGATGCTGATGATGCTGAGACTGAAGAACCTTATTCCATAGCCACTGGCAGAGAGAGGAGACAGATCAAACCTCCTCAAATATATGCACATGTTGAATTAGTGGTGTATGCTCTCACGATAGCTGAAGAGATGAGTATTCAAGAGCCATCAAACTTTACTGAAGCTGTCTCATACGGAGAATCTGAACGTTGGGCCACAGCTATGACAGAAGAACTCGAGTCACTCTACAAGAATCAGACTTGGGATTTGGTGCATTGTTTGCAAGAGGGGGTCGAGTTTCACTTGTTCTATTATGAAGTGTACTCTCATATTTAGTTTGGTTGGTGTCGGCTCAGTTTTGGGCAAACGTATGCCGAGGTGGAGATTGTTAGTCAAAAACATCAAGCCACAAAGGTGCAGCCACCCTTTGTTGAAAAACAAAGAAAGAAACACCGAAAGAGAGAGAAAGCCACCATTGTTGACAAATCAGGAAGGGTGGCAGCAGGTGTTTATCTTTGAGGAGGTTTGATCTGTCTCCTCTCTCTGCCAGTGGCTATGGAATAAGGTTCTTCAGTCTCAGCATTATCAGCATCTGAGCATGAATCATGCTGCTCTTCTACAGCTGTAGGAGCAAATTTTATAGACGGCTTTTGAGACGTCTCTCCCTCGAGCTCCACCTGAAGCTCCACCTTATTCATGGTCTTCTCTACATTTCCTGTAGACTCAACAGAAACCTTCCCACGATCAAGCATATATATTTCATTAAAAGTAACATCTCTACTAATAATGAATTTAGGAAGAAACCTTCCCACGATCAAGCATATATATTTCATTAAAAGTAACATCTCTACTAATAATGAATTTAGGAGAATCAGGTTCAAGACTCCACAAACGATAGCCTTTAACGCCATCAGCATAACCAATAAATATGTATTTCTTAACTCTAGGCTCAAGCTTACCCTCTCTAACATGATAGTAAGCGGGACATCCAAATACCTTTAAATTTGAATAGTCATTTGGTTTACCTGATCATACCTCATTTGGAGTCTTGTGTTCAATGGCTGTAGAAGGAGACCGATTTACCAAGTAACAAACTGTGTTAACAGCTTCAGCCCAGAAGCCTTTATCCAAGCCAGAGTTTGAGAGTATACACCTAGCTCTCTCCATCAACGTTCTATTCATGCGTTCTGCCACCCTGTTTTGCTGAGGAGTGTGCCTGATCGTGCGATGTCGTACGATCCCAGAATTTGAGTAGAACTGATTGAACTCACCACTGCAGAACTCTGATACCAGTTTGTTGGGGAAATTACCCACTAAACCAGAGAATAGAACAATCACAAACACAATATTTACGTGGTTCGATCAAATTGATCTACGTCCACGGCAAGAGGGGAGTTTCACTATATTTAATCTCAACATACAACACTCATACAAAATATTGAGAGCTCACAGATTTCGTTGTGTGGCTTTCTCTCTCTTTTTCTCTCAATCACTCTCTGCTGTTGGAGTGAATTCAACCGAGGAAGAGAGGGGGGCTTTTATAGGCTTCAAATCCCCCCCTCTGTCAATCACCGAAAATGAGCCCTCACTCTCTTTGTCAACACCTGCTACCACCCTTCCTGATTTGTCAACAATGGTGGCTTTCTCTCTCTTTCGGTGCTTCTTTCTTTGTTTTTCAACAAAAGGTGGCTGCACCTTTGTGGCTTGATGTTTTTGACCAACAGATGCATTTATAAGATCTAACAACTTGAATTAGTTCAAGTCTGACCCATTTATGCCCCTATGACATATCTTGTTAACTGACAGGAACTCAGCATTAACAAGTATTCTTTAGATGATCCCTCCTTTCTTTTACGTTTATGTTTACCTTTACTTAACTGGTTCCACAAAAAGATCAATGTACATCCCATTCCTAGTAGTAGCTCACACTGTGCAATCACATATGTGAGTTCCACCTCAATTGGATGACTCTGCTCACATCTTTTCTATTTTAATATACGCATATACTTGATGAATGTCAATACATTTTGTAGGAATTTCACAAGCATATTCTTATCTTTTTACCCTTTTCATGGTATTATAGATCAGACAAACAGAAAAAAGTTATGGAGAAGCGCCAATGCAAATTAGAAGGCTATGGTGTAGAAACAAATGATGGGAATGAACAATCAGATCAGTTCAATAGATTGTGTGACATCATAATTCATCACATTCTCTCTTTCCTTCTTGTGAGAGATGCAGCCAAGACGAGTGTCCTCTCAGAAAGACGGAGGTACTATTTTAAAAAACCTCCGCCTAGTCCGCTTAGGCGTTCGCCTAGGCTTAGGCGGTACCTAGGCCGTCTAACTAGCGCTTAGGCGGTATTTAGGTTGCCCACCTAGATTTTACGAGCATTTAGGGGAGCATTGCCTGCTTACGTGGATGCTGTAGGTCTTGGTTGTGATTTTATGTGTTGTAGCCTACACGTCCTCCAAACTCCATTAACCTCCAAATATGAACACCTCCACTACCTCCTCCGACCTTTAACAAAACCTCATCGACCACCACTTAAATGAAGAAAGAAATCCGCCTAGACACCAGTCCGACATCTAAGCTTTCTGTAACATTGACATTCACTATTAATTATTGTAATTAAAAATAAAAAAAGAAAACATCTTAGGCTCTAGCCTTGTTAATTATTATTTTGGCTATTTAGTACCTAAGTATGCATGATTTATTGAGGAACTAAAATTGCTATCTTTTTTTGAAAATTTATATGAATTTAATACATATTGTAATTTGAGTTGAGATGAACTAATAATTTGAGTTGAGAAGTATAAACATACAAAGAGCTATTGTAATTGGTAAACCAAGCAATTTAGTTAATAGTGTTGGTATTTTAGTATTTATGCATATTTGATTGAGTATATATATATTTATTTTTAAGTATCACAATTAAAAAAATAAAAAAGAAAAAAAAAACGTCCAGAAACCGCTTAGGCGCCCGCCTAGGCGACTAAGCGCTGGGCGCCAAGTTCGACGCTTAGAAGCCCCAGCGTTTAATGTAACATTGGACGGAGGAACATATTCCACTCAATGCCTATCCTAGATTTTGACAGAAATTGTTTCTTGAGAGAGCTGGAGCTTTGAGGGCTCACCCTGATGATGCATTAGTTAATTTTATGAGTGCAGCAGTTGTTTGCCGTGAAAATGCACCCATAAATCTCTTGAGGATAACACTCAATGAGTATAGATCTTCCTTTTATTATCCTATCAGACAATACAGATGGCTATGACGTCTAAAGTCCAGGAAATGCATCTTGACTTCACTGGTGGAGGTCACTTCCTCCCATACGGTCGTTATGCTAATGACCCATTTTGGGCCTATCACTGTAATATTGACACTCGTTGCCGGAACTATTACGCATCCCATGATAATGGATACTCATCTTCAGAGTTGGATTTAGCAAGTGAAGATTCAAGCAGTAGTGATTCAGATGAAGGACCACATAGCTCCTTTTTTGTCATGCTTCGAGCTCTGTTCAGCTATGCGTCTCTGCGAGTTTTGAAACTGGCAGGGTGCTGTATAACTAATCCAGGCCCTATGAATTTTGGGAATCTTACTTGTCTGGTGTTTATAGATGTTAAGATCTCTCAGAAAAATCTCCACAAAGTGCTTCCCATTTGCTGCTGTAAGCTTGAGGTGTTGGGACTTACAAGATTTCGTCAATTGAAACATCTTGCATTTCTGATCCAAAACTACTTAGCCTGAAGTTAGAATGCTGCCACTTCCGGAAGAAAGTTATGATCCATGCACAAGAGCTCCAACACTTCAAGCTTGATTTGAGTAATACTAGAGAAGTGTTTTCCTAAAAATTTCCTTCCCTGGTTAAAGCTGAAATAGGTTTTTGTAAGAAAATAAACTGTACTAATGTGGGACGGCGGGCTGGCTATCTAGTGAAACTTCTCAAGGATCTCGGTCATGTTAAGGATCTGGTTTTGTATAGCAGATTTCTCAAGGTAATTTCGCATGCTTTGCTAAAAGATTTTTACCTGATTGTTTAAACTCTCACTACTAATGTTCTCCAGGACATGGACATTCCGGAGAGTCAAATGAAAAGCTTTACTATGTCAACAGTCACGCGACTTGAGATGATTGAGAAAATGGGAAGACATGCTATCTCAACAATATTTAGTTTACTCAAAGCTTTCAGTAACTTGGAGTCCCTTTGTCTGACCATCGTTCAACCCTATAACTCAGAGGTGCAACAAATCCCTTTATTAATCTATTTCTTCGTTTCAGTTATTTAAGATCACTTCCTTAACTCGTGCGTTGTTTTGTTGATTTATTTATTTATTTATTTATTTGTTTTTCACAGGAAATTGTCATTGATTATGAACTCGGAAAATAGAAGAATACTTCCACAAGTTTGGAGTCTAATCTGAGAGAATTGAAAATAAAAGAATTTCAAGGAAGTAATATTGAGAACAAGATGCTGAAATTCTTGCTGGATAATTGCAAAGCCTTGTAGAAGGTCGATATCGGGAAATACACTCCGTCATTGTCGACCCATGGAGAGCTTAGAGCAAAGTTGTCGTTGTACTGCACCTTGAAAGATCTCAAATTGAACTATTATTTATCATGAGTTTTCGGAAGTGAGATTTCGGATACTTCTTATATAGGTACCTCTGTGTTTAGTGTTTCTGTTTTTGTAAGGGAGCTCCAGTTCCTGGTTTCATAAGTACTATGCTCCAGTTCTTGCTTTTTCTTAAACTTTGGCATCTTGCTTTGGGCAATGCTTAAATGCAAAACTTCTGTTCTTTGAAAACATTACAATCTACATTAATATTCCTTTTAAATATTAAACTCCCTGTGCACTCTGTTTCTTCTTATTCTTGATAGGCCACATCGTTCGCTTAACTACATGAGAAGTTACCTCACAAATTCAAGAAGATATGAAAATAGACTTCTCTTTGGAAAAAAAAAAGATGTCAAAACTGTATTGACTCCTCTGATAGTTGATATATGAAAGTTGGAATTCTGAAATTGCAATTCTGTGACATGTGACAAAGTTGTAAACGGAGGAGAGTTTTAACACAGTAGAGTAGAATTGTATTACAATTTCAATGCAGCACTTTGTGAATATACTACATGGAATCATTTTGAAAAAAACGTATCTCTGTAAAATCAATAGGACGACTAGCTTCTTACTACAGCTTTTAAGCTGGAGGTAAAGCTGAGCTGATCGACCTCGTAAAGTTTCTTCTTGAGGGAGAAATTGCATCCCAGGAATTGGTGAACCTTTTTACATGAAAATCCTCTAGTTTGACTCTTCTGTAACGGTCAGGAAAAACA